GACTGACAGAACATTACTAGGCCAGTCACAGGAGTTTAATGGCAGTCAATGGGAAGAGAAGCTTCCATTAGGCAGTAGAATCTTACTGTAATTAAGCTGCACATGATGAAAGCCAGTCCCTGCAAACCAGTAGCACACCCTGAGTGATGGATTTAACTTCACTGGCTATTGAGGAATGAATGTCTTTGGAAGCAGAACTTACTGAAACGTTGTAGAAACATGCTGCACATGCCTATCTGTGTGAGCACAAAATGAGATTTGCTGCTGGCTCTGCTCTGCATCTTACTGCTCCCATTTGCTGGTCCTGCTCTTATGTTGTACGTTATCATTAAGAGAGAAAAATGTCTGTGAAAGCATTACCTCTGAGATTCCTTTCATTACAGCCTGCAGATAGTAGCATAATAAAAGTCATCAAGTAGACTATTGGTAAAACCAACTAGAGTAACCTTGTCAAAAACAAGGATAAGCCACTTAAAAACCGTGTAGATAAGAAGTCTAGGTTTTATACTATCAGTGACCAGAAGATTCCAGAAGCTTAGTTTTCAAGCAAAAATAGAAACAGGAGAAGTTCAACTTAAATACAAAGATTGAGTTTTATATATTTGCATAGAAAATATAAGGGAGTGGGGGGAAGAGGCATTTTCTAGTTTCCCTAGGAAACTCACTATTACACTTGGTCCATCCTCCCAGCTTCTGTTGTGAACCTACCAGCCCTGCCAAAAACCTTTTTCTACTTCTGGCAGTATATTCCATTAGCGAATCTCAGTCTGGAGGCAGACTGGAAAGTTCCACAAGGTTCCAGTGCTGTTTAGATGTTGGAGAAATGTGCCTTCAGATAAGATATGAGACCGCAGATGCAAAGCTACCAGCTGTTACAAAAGCAGCAAAAAACGTGTGTTACTAGAACTAACATTAATAAGGGAGCCAGGGGGATTTCATGGACACATTAAGCTGATTTAAGCTGAAGAGATTTGGTTCAAAGAAAATTTCTAATATTTCATAAATGAAGTATTCAGTGGAGTACTTTAACATGCCCATGACAATTACTTTGCCCTGAATAATCAGCTGATAGGTGATGCGGATGCGCTGCCTCCAGTTGCACTGCAGGATGAGTCACTAGCTGAGATAAAGAACAGAGCCCCAGCAAGACTGCTAAAAGCTGTAACATGCTCAAAGTGTGCCTACTCCAGTGATACAGCAAGAATGATACCCTCCTGTCTGGCTGGATTTTCAGTGTACTTCATCTTCTCCTGTGTAGTCAGTGCCTAGTGTGTTTTCTCTCTGACAAGCCAAATGAGCTACTCAGTAAAAAATGCTATAAAACCTTTATTTCATGCCTTTGTCTATCATTTTCAGACATGTTTATGGCATTTCACATCAGCTCTTCTATGGGAAAACCTTTAGAAGAGAGTGTGTTTGTATAGACATATGTAAATAATGCATAGGCATAATTATAAAACAATGAGTGACTGAAATTGCAATGCACAGCAGGTAAAAACCACACACTTGTGGAGAGAAGTCCCACTGGAAATGTGACTCTCTTAAAACCTCATCCATTTAATTACAAGCTATGGATATTGCACACATCTCAAACAAACACATTATCAGGAGTGATGAGAAGGGAAGACTGACTCCACACACAAAGGTTCTGTCCTATTTTGACCTGCTCTTTATCACCTCCCTTCCAGCCCTGTGTGAGGGTGTGTGTACAACAAGGTTACACAGAGATGGGGACTTATACTTCCTAACTGCTGCACAGCACAAGAATCTATTGATGGGTTCCCACACCTTGAGTGTATGCTCAGGGAGGGCTGAGAGATGCTGGAATAGAGAAGAGGATGAACAACTGCCCCCACTGAGCTAGAGACAGCAGAGACAGCTCCATCATGCCAAACGGCCCAAGTACAGAGCATTTCTCCAGTAACTGTATTTGAAGGCATGATAATATTTGTTCATGGTATGACAGACAGTTACAGGATCATGTACCAAGTTATGGCTATTCAAGATGTAGGTACCTGAGTCAGTAGGACTCTAACTGCATCCTTAAAATGAAGGCTTCATTAAAGATCTTTCTCAGTCATTCCTCTCCCTGTCTTCAATGACAGGTCCAAGCCAACTAAACGCTCTCATTATTTCTTTTGGATGTATGCTATGCTAAAAGAAAAGTCCCTGAAAGAATGGAGGCATTGAGACCTCAGTTAAGGATAGATCTTGTGAATTAACATCCACTTTTGATACGTAATCTTTGTGAGAAGTTCATGGAAATAGTTTTCAAATAAATGGATTAATATCATTAATACTTCACAGCTCATTTTCATTATTTTCATTTCATCTTTCAGAAAGCATTCAATTATTTCAAGCTGCTGTATTCTTCCATTCCAAGTTCATTCTTGCCTCTGAGGGTTTATGCTGATTTTTCTTTTCAATAATCTTGTCCTAGTGCAAAGAAGTGTTGAAACATTGACAACCAACTTCACAATATCTATCCCGTTTATTTGTATCCCATCTCCATTTTCAATATTTTATGGCTGTAGAAATGATACACCCCAATCAAAAGGAAGTGCTGACAATTTTACTTGCAAGTATAATGAAGGCAGTCCATGCTTAAATGCAGCTATATCCCCCTGGTGTTTTGCCTGAGTCACTTAGCTGAGGATGGTTTAAATCAGTTTGGTTTAAGCTTTAGTAATATAAAAAAGTTCTGTAATCACAATCAAGTGAACCTGCACATTCTCCACAGTCATTTCTCACCTTCCCTGCCAGCAAGATGAGCTTCACCTTGACACTTTCCTAAGAGCATCCCTCAAATCAGGGTAGCCAGAAAGGGGTAAAAGAATAAATCACCACCCACAAGAGACCTCCAGTCCCAAATGTAGCACACGGCTTCTAGTAAAACCTGCTCCCTTTGTAATAAACTTGAGATACCCATCAAAGCATAGACATTTGTGACCTCAGCCATCAGTCACAGCCCCTCAGTTTACCCCCTAGAGGGATCCATCCTGTCTTTTCACAACTTCTTACAAGTCCCATTAGGGAAATTCTAGTCTGATTGCAGTATTATTTCACTCTGTCTTTATGGCCCTACTGTTAGAACTCTAACGTGACTGCTCCATTAAACAAACTGATTGTAATATAGGTGGTCTAAAGAACTTATAGAATAATTATCCAAGACTGAAGTGATGATGGAAGGCTTTGCTGCATTGGAGATTTATAGAACTAAAGCTACACTTAAAAGAGGTTGGGAAGTTTTGGCAGTAAGAAATTTCCTTCATAGAATCCCAGCCTGGTTTGTGTTGGAAGGGCCCTTAAAGCTCCTCCAGCTCCAACCCCTGCCATAGGCCGGGACACCTCCCACTAGAGCAGCTTGCTCCAAGCCCCTGTGTCCAACCTGGCCTTGAACACTGCCAGGGATGGGGCAGCCACAGCTTCTCTGAGCACCCTGTGCCAGCCCCTCAGCACCCTATTCCTAATGTCTAAGCCAAATCTACCCCCTTCCCATTTAAAGCCATTATTTCTTATTTCATCATCTGATATTACTCCCAGGGGAGAAAAACTCAGGGGAGTTACTGACACTCAGACTGCTCAGTATTATCAATGTGCAAGAATATGACCAAATAACTCAGATGTATGGGTCAGCGCGAGACATTTGAATACACTTAAGTGTTTCAAAAAACCCCACGTAAGTTTCCTTAAGTGTAGAAGAGAAACAAAATACAAACCAACATCAAAGCCCCAAACCAATCAACCAAAAAAACCCTGTACACTTTCTCCTTCTTCCTTACCAGATTCTGCAGCCAAAATATACAGCAAAGAGGAAATACAGCCCAAGAAACAGTGATATAAACTGAAAGGGGGGGGAAGTTTAGGTTAGATATAAGGAAGTTCTTCCCTGTGAGGGTGCCGAGGCACTGGCACAGGTGCCCAGAGAAGTGGTAAATGCTCCATCCCTGGCAGTGTTCAAGCCCAGGCTGGACAGGGCCTGGAGCAACCTGGTCTAGTGTGAGGTGTCCCTGCCCATGGCAGGGGGTTGGAACTGGAAGGTGTTAAGGTCCTTTCCAACCCAAACCATTCTGTGATGCTATGACATAGTATTAATCAGTATTTTGAAATACGGAATCACTGCCTTTACCAAAGTCTCTTTTAAAGTCACATCCAACCAAGCACGGAGGGAGGAGTGGGCAATACAAATGTACTTCGTTCACATCCTGCAGCTTTTGCCTTGTAAGTAGACATTGAAATAAAACAGCCCATGTCAGAAATAATTTCCCCTTGAAGTAGCTCTGCAAACTCAGGAGCTGAAAGGGACTCAGGTAAGCATTCAGATGTGCTGGGATTGTGGTTGGTTGGTTTAGTCTGGAGTCCCCCAGGTCAGTCAAGCTGATCGTCACAAAACAGAACATACCAGTTCCCATTAGCCCAAAAGTAAATTTGCTTTTGGAAGTCATTTATTACAAATGGAACAGCTTTAGGGGCTCTTAGGGATAGTTATTAAGTGTTTATATTTTTTAAATCAGGCTTCATTTCAATGTTTAGCTATTGATTGATGCTTACAGATTGATACTGTCTCCTGCTGGTGTCATAATATAAAGCAATGAACCAGTGAAGATTCCTGTTCTTACATGAAAACAGAACCTAAAAATGGAATTTAAGTGAAAGCATAGCGTATTCAAGGCTGACGTCCAGCAAAGCACTGAAACACACACACATATATTCTCAATTAACTCAATGAGACTATGCCTGTGTCTTAAGCAGTTTGCTGGATTGCGGCCATCTACAAAACTGTTTCTGCCCCAAAGATTGCTCAAAAAGTCTCTATAGTTATCATGTCTGTCCTCTCTAAATATTTAATTTCCATTAAAGCCTATTCAGTACCTACCAGTTTCACTCCCAACCTATTTTGTAACAGTTTTCCTCTCCAGAAGCATTTAACATGTAGAGTTTATTTAAAATAAAGCAAATGAAGGAGGAAATGCACTAAAACATGTGGTTAGTGGGTGTACCTCAGCAAAGGTGTGTGGAGGCATGAGCCAGTCCCTGTCCTTCACTACTGCAAATCCAACACCGAAGGAAACCCTGCACATGGGAAGTTATCCATTAAAACATGGCCTGGGGGAGACCAGGAGCAACTTTAGAAGATGTAAATATCGACAAATCAACCCAGTGTTACCCCTTATTTCATAGAATCATAGAATAGTTAGGGTTGGAAAGGACCTTAAGATCATCCAGTTCCAACCCCCCTGCCGTGGGCAGGGACACCTCACACTAAACCATCTCACCCAAGGCTCTGTCCAACCTGGCCTTGAACACTGCCAGGGATGGAGCATTCACAACTTCCCTGGGCAACCCATTCCAGTGCCTCAGCACCCTCACAGGAAAGAACTTCTTCCTTATATCCAATCTAAACTTCCCCTGTTTAAGTTTGAACCCATTACCCCTTGTCCTATCACTACAGTCCCTAATGAAGAGTCCCTCCCCAGCATCCCTATAGGCCCCCTTCAGATACTGGAAGGCTGCTATGAGGTCTCCACGCAGCCTTCTCTTCTCCAGGCTGAACAGCCCCGACTTTCTCAGCCTATCCTCATACAGGAGGTGCTCCAGCCCCTGATCATCCTTGTAGCCTCCTCTGGACTTGTTCCAATAGCTCCATGTTGAGGACACCAGAACTGCACACAATATTTCTCTAGGAAAGTGAGAGAAGAAAGCATGAGGAATTCAGCACATCATCCCCTTCTCCTTCATAGACAGAGCAGGAGGTGCTCTCATCACAGGGAGCTGGGCAATGTCCAGTTTGGATCACTTTGTGGGGAAGCTGTAAGCAGCTGGGGGGGCATGGCGAGTCAGGGAAGGACAGACAGACACTGAAGTCTGATTAGTCAATATGGAGCAGAGAAGCTGGGAGACACCTCCATGTTTTCTGAAGCTGGACAACCTCACTGCTCCTTCCCTGATCCCTGAATAAACAGGGGAGCAGAGGCTGATGGGGGACTCGCCTCAGGCCTCCCTCACCTGCCAGTGCAGCCTCTCGCCTAGGTCCAGTTCTGCCTGATCAGATAAATCGGGCAAAGGCTGATTCATTCCTAAGTGCTGCCCTATCAGTGAAGGGGCTCTGGAGGAGAGATTGCTACCTGAAATTACAGCAAGTGTGGTGAGGTGGGAGTTCCCACGTGGCAAAAGCTTGTGAAATAACATTTAGGTCTTGCTTCAAACTCCTTTCTCAAATAATCCCAGGGGAGCCCAACATTAACCTGTAACAAGGACAGCTATTTGCACGATGCTAGATGGCAGGGGCAGGCTGGGAAATCCCATAAGCAGGCTCAGCCATTAGCTGGAATTGTTTTGAGACAATTGTTATGAAGTACTTGGGACAAGAACGTACATATGAGACATGAAAAACTGAGGCCTCTGTTGAGCTTGTAAAGTATATAGTCACAAGTACGTCAGAGTATTTACAGCACATGCTGCATTTGAAAGTAATTCAGTTTACTCTCGGCAAACAGACTGTATGAATGATCCCTGTGAGTGAAAGTCCTCAAAACACTGTTTCTGGGGAAAAGGGGGATAAAGGGTGGATAAAGAGTGATAAAGGTCCTCATCTGTCCTCCTCTCATGGCTCTACACCATAAATGGATGACATAGAAAAGAAATACGGAGGGCTTGCCATAGGGACACAACAAATGTCAGCACCTTTGCTTTCTAAAAATCTCTTAAACCTGAGAACTGTGAACTGATGTCAAGCTGCTGGACAGAATGTTTTTCAGTTAGTCCCAGTAAAACCATCAATTCCTTAGTGAAAAGCAAAGAAAGGTCGATCCTGAGTAGTTCTTCAGTTGCACGACAGAAGAAAAGCTTAGCTAGGAAAAGCAGTGCAGGCAGAGTGGTGAAAGAAAAACTTAGAAAACCTGGTAAGTTCCAAGGGCAGCATTAATAATAAATCCATACTTCTGTAATTGCATAACAAACCTGCCCACATCACTCAGGGCTGCAAGTATTAATTAAGCAATATAGCGTTCCTGGGAGGAGAAACTGATACCCGCTTCACTGCGGCACCAAGAGGTTACAGCATGACTGGGCTCGGGGTTTTCATTTTGCTGTCTTCCTGGTAGGCTGGGAAATTGGACTTTAATAACCTCTAATGGCTTTGCATGGACTCCTTCAAAACTGATGGAGACACTAATGTTAAAGCAGCGTACTACAAATTCAGTGGCTTATGGATGTAATAACACAGCTAAACTTAACCATTTGCTTCCAACCTAATGGGTCAAATTCGGTTTATTTTGATTTCTCCCAAGATTCTGAACTGCCGTAACACAGCAGGATTCTGCAGTTCTTACCAAATAAAAGGATACAGTGAAAGTACTTTGGGTGGGAACAGACTCACATTTGTGTGTCAGGTGACATACAGAAAGCACAAATTGACACAAAACATACATGCAAGGAAGCTGTAAATCACAAAGCTATTGGATTCAAGGAGAGAGAGTGGGCTAAGAGAGTTAATCAGCTTCCATCACCCCTGCTCCCATCCTCTGCTCTCACTCCCTCCTCCTGTTACCATCAGCTGGTGTAGTGCAACACAGCAAATGGCACAGTTTGGTTGGGATCACATCCTCTGTGCAGCTTCTCCTGCAAATCCTACTTCTTTACTCCAGCATTACTTTAATCTGTTCAAGCATGTACGAATACTAAACTCAAACCAGTCTCCCTCAGGTCTGTATACATAGCTCACCACTCAGTTGTGTTACTACAAAAGACCTTCTCCTGTTCTTTGCATTTAGGATCTTCCCCATTTGTCATTTACGCTTCAGGTTCTGTGTCCTAATTCCCCAGATACTGTGAAATGTGAACAGCCCTGGTTCCACACTGATGGTCACCTCTGCCTCCAGTTGCTCTGTGCAGTTTCTTCTTTCAGATCCTCTCTCTTTCTTCAGCCATTTGTTAGATTAGTCTTTGTTAAGCACATCCTCTCATTTTGTTTAGTATTTTTGTCACCCTTTCTTCCATTCTTAGTATTTAGTTTCTTCAGTCCTAATTTTCAGAACAGTTAATGTCTACTCATCTGACATCCTTCCCTTCACATCAAAATACACGGCTTCTTTACCCTATCCTTCCAACATTAGCTTACAACTTTATTCATGACATCCAGTATCTCAGTCTCTGATACAACCCGTACCAGAAAGCGTGCATTCTGAAGCAAAGGAACCAACACACCATCAGACTTTGCACCCATGCTCCCAATCCCCAGAGAAAACAAAGGCTATGTCAGAATGTGCCATGTGCTTGTTGGTTTTCCATTCATCCTTCCATCACCTTCCATGACCAAAGTAGTCCTTTTTCCTTCTTAAACCTGGCACCTGTATCCCGCAACACTCATTGCCCGAAAGCACTCTGCTCATCTAGCTTCTTTACAGACATGGCACTTGACAAAGCTTCCTTCCACCTCCGTGCTGGTAAGCACAAACTTCCCTGTGTTACACCCCTTAAGTTGTACAGCTTCCCCAATATTACCATATAGAAGCTCTACTACGTATATGGCTTTTGTGCCAGTAAGTTATTTACTGTCTCCCACTTTCACCAGCAATGCTACAAGCAAGTGGGAGTATAAACAGGAGTTTTTCTTTGACCATAGATCTACCTTGCAGTCAAATTAAATAGGTCCAAACCTAAGAAACTAGCACTTTCTTAATCTTCCTTCAGTTTTCCACAATTCCCTTAAGCTTATTCCCACAACCCCTGTAAAACACAATTTTGTAAGTAAGTGGTTTCCATGGACAGAAATCAAAAGGACTTAAAAATTAACTTGAAAGGTCCGCATTGAAATAAGTCTGAAAAACTTTCATCCCCCACAACTGGTAAGTCCTCACCATTCACAGTCCCTGTAAAGGCTGGGGTTCAAAACTTGACCACAGAACTCTCACTTTTTTTTCAGTGCTATTTTTAAACTCAATTCCTTTATCATGCACATGATGCTTTGCTAGGCAGGGAAGCATAATTATGGTTATGTCTCTCAATATGCTATTTCCAACCAGGGCTTGCTATGCCATAACTGCATTCTGTGTGTGGATAACCACGTTAAGCTTTATGAAAGCTCTCAGCTTATTAAAAGCCCCTGCCTGGAAATGATCCCAGCTCCAACCTGAAGAGGAGGGCTTCTGCTAGGTCCACACTCAGCTCCTGAAGGAAGTGGGAAGGAAGAAGCAAGACGCCACTGAAATACAGTAGTGCCATGCAATGCCTGGGGCTATGGGAGATCTGCAGTGGCCTTAGATGAGAATGGGGTTGTTTCCCTCATCTTCTGTATTCCTTAAATGAGCCAACACCCTAAGGAATAGTTTTCCAGTTACCTCCTGGAGCCCGAATATAATGTCCCAACCAGCAAGGCACCGCTGTCACCAGGCTTGGCAGGCACAAAGCCTGGTCATGCAGAGATACTTCAGTAAACTCCAGCTAAAGCCATGACTTAAACCCTCCCCACAGTCATATTAAGGGACTGAGGAGGGATGTAAAGAGCCTGTGGGTCCCCAGGAGCTACAGTCACCTCAGCAGTGAACGCACCAGGCAGGAAGGTCAGCAGCACAGCCGCAGCCCACAGCACTGTACGTACGTGGAGGGGACAAAGATGATCACTGGCTTAAGCAGCTTGCAGAGGCATCAGAAAACCCTGTGTTATAACTTCCCATGAAGTTTTTAAATGCTAGCACTTTCACGTTGTCAACAAGTCTGAATCAATGGAAAAACATTCTACGCAGAAAATTCAGTGCCTTGATCCTCTATTCCGATTTACATATGCAAACAAACATACCAGGACAGGATCCCAGTGAAGACAACAGCATTTTGTGGGAAGTCATGTGGGGCAGAGTACAGAGCTGGTTCCAGAGCTTCTCTCTATAAAGAGGGGGGAAAGGGAGTGGGAGGTTAAAGAAAAGAAAAAAAAGGGGAAGGGTAAAAACATTCTGAGCCTTAGTAAAGTAACACAATGAGAAGGCTGAAAAGTATTTATTCATAGTGGAATATTCACTGATTAATTCTTGAGAGTACTGGTGTTAGTCTCCCAGCTATCGGAAAGCAATTTTGTTCAGGGCAAGGATGATTTTTGTTGCTTGGTTACCCTACTTTTTATTCTCGAAGAGAAAACCCATTGCATTGTTACATAAGCAGCAGTGTTTCATCCACCCTGGGAAAAACATGATACAAACCTGCCTGACTGATAGAGAGGCTCAGGAAACAGATTTACATGAAGAGCACAGCGTCTGTGTCGATTTATTCCTTTGCACACAGCTTTGCTCCAGATGGTCTGGAAAATGCTCTAGATGTAAATGCTACAGCAGAATATGCTAGCAATAGAGAAGACCGTGGAACCTCAGAAAATCCTTTGGTCTTTCCTGCAAACATAAGATAGTTTAACATGAAATAGACTAAAATGCAGTGTTATCCTATCCCAAATGCCCTCTGCACATCAGGAGTAAACTTTCTTTCAGTCCTATTGCTGCCTATTAGAATAAAACAACAAAACCAGCTCAGTGAGAAAGTGTTATTAACAAAACAAGATTTCCTTGCTTTGTCTTTTCTGGTTAGAGTTAAATGGCTGCTTATTTATCGATGTAGAAGCTCTGTACACAAAACAACATAAAAAGCTTGTTTTGTATCTTTATCATTAAATGCAGGGAATTAAATACACATGCTCTTCTCTTCCCTCAAAGCTCAAGGATCAGTGAAAGGATTTGGAAGCTTGGTGTTCTTCCTGCCAGGTGTTGATATAGCTCTAGATAACACAAAGCCTGTTATGCAATGCTATTGTAGCATAACCCCATTCACTTCACTTTAACCTTCAGCATCATCTCTGTGAACTTGCTGACTTTGAAGAAGAAACAAAGAGTTAAACAATACCAAGAAAGGTTGTTCTGGTACACTCAACATGACCATGACAGAGTAAAAGAAATGAATGAAAATGGCTTCCCTTATGTAAGTGGTATCTTTGGATTTTAATACATGAAGGGAAGAGAATTTGGCTTTATCATGAGACCATTATAGTCCTCACCTTGGAGATACTGCATATGCGAAGTTCAATCTATGTGCAGCCTCATTAGTGACATAAAATTCAAGGGAGCATCGGGTTTCAGTAGATACAGTTTGCTTCCAAAGTCTGAGAAGTTAATTGCTGAGGAGTTAATAATCTGAGGAGAGACTTTTACTCATAGCTACAAAAAGTAAAATGTGACATCGTAGTGAAGTAAAATCCTGACTCATTTCAGGAACGATGACAACAGAAACATGTGAAAACAAACACTGCCTTTTTCTATCCTGTTCTTCTCTAAAACTGACTTAATGGCTTCTTCAGGTCATTAATGAAACCTTCAGAAATGACCATCTTCTCAGTGAAATACCGCAGCAGTCTCGAGAACCAGAGCCAGCACATCAAGTGCATGCAGCCCCTAGCTTACATTAAAGGTCTGTTACAGTGTTTAACATACGCTGTTTAAAACCCAGTTTACTGTAGAACAGCCAAAATCATCCTCTCTAAAACAGAATGGGTTTTTTGCCTTGAAATATTATGTGGCAGTAGGTAAATGAAAGTCCAGACAGAGGAAGGCTCAGAGCAGCAGAAAGCTTGTGAGAATCACTAAGTGAAGACTGTCAGTACATCTTTATGACGATATTGTCTTTTTTGTTACCCAAGCAGGACACTTCTAAAACAACACGTCACGAAGGATGAAATAGAGGATGAAGTAGTTTTACCAACTATTCTACAGGAAATATCTAACTTGGAAGATGGCAAGTTATCACAAGTGAAAGTTTTGCTAGGAATCTTACCTCTTGACTTAGGCAGTTTGCTGATCTGGGCACGTTGTTTACCAGATTTCCCTTTTACTGTTTTACAACCTGCTCTGCATTTACTGAGTGCATATTTTACTGCACAGCATTGAATATGGTGTTATTAAGGCAAACGGGATTTGTGTTCGGTAGAGAAGCAAAGCAAGAAACTGGCATCTTAGTGCTAGCAGTGAAAGGACAGCAAATCCAAGAGCAGTTTAGTGCTTTTGATTTTAACAGATGAGCTCTCTACACGTGACTTCTAATTTTAATCTATTATAAGGTTAGATGAACCTCAAACCCACACATATCTACCTAACCATGAAGAAAAGCTACAAGTACTATAAATTGATGCTGCACAGTATCAGTATTATCAAAGGCTCATCACACAAGACCCACTTCTGGTCAATCTATATTTTAAGAAGTGATTACTATTTAGTTTCTGGAAGAAAACCAGGCGTTCAATCTGGCTGATCCTGCAAGCCGTTCATGTTTGGCTTCCTGGGATGAAACCCAAGCACAGCATAGTGAAGAAGGCAAGGCAGTTAAGATACCTGAATATTTAGTCTTAGTTCTTATTGTGTGTTTGTCAGACAGGAAGGAAATACTCTCAAAAGGGACTGTGCACATGCTGTTCTGGCATTCTCTTAAAGGCTAATAATGCTACTTTCATGTTCTGTAAGCCAGAAGCAATTTGACTTTAGTAAATGTTGCAGGAAGCAAAAAGCTGACTTCTGCTATATTCCTTGTTCCCTTGTAGGCATGTTCTGTGACCACTGCTCATTAACCATTCCATATGTGTCTCAGCTCAGCATTGCACTTGAAGCATTGCAGCTTCCATCTACTGGTCTGAACATTTCTTATATTCATTAGCAGAATATTGTTTCCTATGGAATTAGAAAGACTGAGTGCCAGGCTTTATGGAGAAGAGAAAGTCCCTATAGATAACAGTCATTTGACAGTAGTATGTTGTATAGGTACACTTGCTCTCAGCAGGGAGAAGCACTAAAATATGGGGAGTTTAACCAGTGAAATAAAGAATAATAGCTGTTCATAATGTTCATACCTTGGTAGATGGGAGCTTGTACCCTGTAGGTGAAACAACAACATAAGTTACGTTCCAAAGTTAATATATGGTTGCAATAGTCATGTATGAAACTACTTCTGTCAAGTGCTACCACATTCATTTCTTCACAGTGTTTATCACCCCATCGCCCTGGGGCTCTTACCTGAGTCAGATTATATTGCAACAGTAAGTCTCTAAAGAGATGAAGGTTTCGCCAACAGATCAGTGCTGGGAGAGGAACAGCACTTTATCACTGCAGGAAACTCTGAACAATGATAGAGGTAGAATTTGAGTAAGATACAGAATAATCTTTAAACATTGCCATCGGTGCTACAAAGATAGACGACAGGTTCCAGTTTACCTATTACCTGTAATCTTTCTGTCATCAAAGCAAATACATCCCTCATTTTTCTCTTCTACTTTCAATAGTTCAGTCAGGAAGGCAGTAAAATGTACTTAAACACCCTCCCTTACCTGTATGAAATAGCATGACTGACTCTGTTATGTAAAGTTTATTTCCTCTCTCATTGTCTGTCCACAACCATGTCACCCATGGTACAGCATACTTTAAACTGGTGTCTGATAATGCTGTTATGTGTTTATGCTAGTCAAGAAAACATGGAAGAGTTGCACTTCATACTCGCAGTAGAAGATAACAAGGTTTGCAATAATCCTGTTACTGGAATTCTGTATGGTCTCAAAGTGGGAGATTTAAATGTTCATAAGAAAATAGCAATATGTAAAGAGACTCTCTGTAGAAGTGTATCCTGCCTGGGAAGTTTTACTTCCTATAGGCTGATCCTACTGGTCAGACAGCTGAGATGGAATTCATTCTGAAAAGCAGAGGGTAAGCATTTCCGACTGATTGGCCCAAGTATTCCACCTTTTCTGTTTTCAGTTCCTCGTACATGTCACTGACAATCTTACAGAGAGTGCTATGTATTTGATTAAGTATATTAAAGCTGTCCCTTTCATTTTCCCACATAATTTCAGAGTCTCTCTGTAAAACTCAGGTGTTTCCTCATCATTAAGTAAAAAAAAAGACTAAGACTTCATAAGCAAAAGATACATCAGTTGATAAAAATGTTTCACATGATGAAAATTAGCAAGACACAAGTGACTCAGTCACACTAAGGTTGAAAACAGCATCATGTGGGTAATCTCAGAACACCTATTGTGCAGAACAGTGCTAAACCACACTGCTAGGAAAACCTGAAAGCAAGGCAAGGGAGAGACATGTATTTCTTGCAGAAATACTTCTGGGTTTAGTTTATTTTAAGATCTGTTCAAAGTGAACCGCATAAAACATACATCAGAATGAGCAGATTTAGATTAGCTATCAACAGATGTCTCCAAGACAAACAGCCGCAGAACTCCTCCAGAATGTCTCTGGACACCTGTAACTCGTGGTTGAACAGTAATGAAGCCCAAATTAACACAGTATGCTGCCTGCTTTCCCTAGCACTGCAAGCCTGGAAGCATTTACAACTTGAATCCATTGTTCAGTGACAGCAAAGAAAAGAGTCTCCAGGTCAGTATGGATACACCTGATCTAAGGACAACTGCAGAAGGACTGGCTACAGCTCCAGTCTCAAGACCTGCCAACTGAATAAACAAGTCTTTTAAAATGCATTGCTTGTACTGTACGGACTGGCTTCAGCTGGTACTGAATCTTCTATGCTGGGCATAGTCCAAAACACAAAGTTAGGTCCTGACTTGCAGTCGGGTGATGAAGAGGTAGAGAATGGAGTCAGTATTTCCCTTGACAAATGAAAGTGAAGAATAAGCAGCAAATGAGTTTTCCAAGGGCACAGTCATTATTCAATGGACATGCACAATTCCAGACAGGCTTCAGTAACAAGATTTCCTTTCCTCTCTAAGAAATTATCAGTTAAATCTATTTCAATTTTTAACGGATGGGGAAAGTTCTCTTAACCTGATCCCTAACCGCAAGTGCCTTAACTGCAGAAAGTATCTGCTACTGATTCACAAGGAATTAGTACATTATGAAAATTAAATGTTAGAGTAGCTTTCAAATCTGTTCCTAACCTTACAGGTTTTTGCAAAAAAGGCTTTTAGCTGAAATACAGTATCTATACTGTAAAAATTAGACTTGTATTTGCTTTTTCCTTGAAACTCAAGCGGACAAACAGCACCAAGATTGCACCCTTGCCACCATCACCACCAAAGAGAAGCCTGCACCTCCCCCTGGGCTGCTGAGGTCTGACTATGCTTAGCTGGAGTTCTCCATGCACTGGAATACAGGCATAGTATGGATCTTGCAGGAATATGTTGCAAGGAACTGTTTAAAAGAGAGAAGACCTAAGTGTCAGTCGCTTTCAGCTTTATCTGCTCTGCACCATTTTCAGTAATACCTTCAAAATTGCCTTTGAAAATGCAATATATTAATGCTTAGATAAATTACTTGAGGGAATTCAGTGATCCTAAAAGCTTATGCTAATACAGACCAATTCTAATTTCTACATGAGTCAGTGTGGACTCCCA